CTTGAGAGAGCATGAGTGTAGGCTCCCTAGTCCGTCAGGCGAGGTTAAGACAACCCGTCTGTTCCATATGTCGGTAGTAGACAACTCGCTGGCACATTGTTGTCTCAGTGCTCCCGCGTTCGCGCGATTAGAGAAAAAGAAGCAGTTAGAGGATCAGGTCTTCGCAGTGTATGTGAGGCCTATCACTGAGCCTAAGCAAGAAGATAGTTCCACAGAACCAGCCATTGCCAAGCTGCTGGAAGAGTTCAAAGACTTAACTGAGCCGCCGACAGGAGTAGTGCCGCGACCGATCCGACACAGGATAGAGATAGAGCCTGGCAGTAAAACTCCTAAGGGTGCAATCTACAGGATGTCCCCTAGAGAGTTAGAGGAGTTGCGCAAGCAGTTGGACGAGCTCCTTGAGAAGGGTTGGATTAGGCCCAGTTCGTCTCCTTTTGGAGCACCAGTTTTATTTGTCCCCAAGAAGGAAGGAGAGATGCACATGTGTATAGATTATAGGGATCTGAATGCTATTACAATCAAGAATGCTGAACCACTGCCTAGGATAGACGATCTCCTAGATCGGGTGCAGGGTTGCAAGTATTTCTCTAAGATAGATTTAAAGTCCGGATATCATCAGATAGAAGTCCATCCTGATGACCAGTACAAGACTGAGTTTCAGACTAGATATGGGCATTATGAGTTCATAATGATGCCCTTTGAACTGACCAATGCGCCAGCAACATTTCAGCGATGTATGAACGATTTGTTTATGCCTTGGTTAGATAGATTTTTCGTAGTGTATCTAGACGACATCTTAGTTTTCAGTAGGACCCTCCACGAACATCAGGGTCATTTGAGGCAGGTCTTGGAGAAGCTAACTTCAAGATCAATGCAAAGAAGTGCGAGTGGGCAAAGACACAAGTTTTGTACTTGGGCCATGTGTTAGACGGAGCCCGAGGACAGTAAGATAGCGGCAATTAGAGACTGGCCGATGCCCCGCACATTGACAAAGTTGCGGTCGTTCCTAGGCCTAGCTAACTATTACAGGAAGTTCGTGAGGAACTCTACTATCGCCGCTCCCCTTCGCAGGTTGCTCGAGAAAGAGGCAATCTAGCAGTGGGATAAGGACTGTATGTATGCGCTAAAGAAGTTGAAGCGCGCATTGATAGAGTACCCTGTCCTCAACGTAGCCGATCCATCCTTGCCATTTGTCGTCACCACAGACGCGGGTCAGTATGGGATAGGCGCCGTGTTACAGCAGGACGACGACAATGGTTCTAGACCCGTAGAGTTCATGTCAGCAAGGATGCCCTCATAGAAGGTCGCCACCTCGACGTATGAGAGAGAACTCTACGCTCTCAGGCAGGCTTTAGAGCACTGGAAGCATTACCTGCTTGGGAGGCACTTCAAAGTGTATTCAGACCATGAGACGCTTGGATGGCTGAAGACACAGGCCAAAATGACACCTAAGTTGACTAGGTGGGCCGCTGAGATAGACCAATATGACTTTGAGCTCAAGCTTGTGAAGGGCAAGTACAATGTAGTTGCGGATGCTCTGAGTAGGAGATCAGACTACTTGGAGCCATAGTTCACTATCTGGACATAGGGCGTGACCTGCAAGAGAAAGTTAGACAGGCGTATGCGCAGGACCCTATCTATAGTGCCCTCCTCAAGAAGGTTAAGGAGGCCCCAGAGACTGAGCTAGATTACCGCACTACAGAGGGTTTGTTATTCGAGAAGCCTAATGTAGTAGACCGCCTATGTGTTCCCAACAGTGAGGAGATCCGCAGTCTGATCCTAAGGGAATGCCATGATACAGAGGGACACTTCGGTTGGCAAAAGACTTTAGCCAATCTTATGCACGCGTACACATGGCCAGGAATGAAAAACGACTGCATAGAGTATGTCCGGAATAAGTCTGTCGGAGGAACAAGACTACTATGCGTGCCCCTCTAGGTCTTCTCAGACCCTTGCCTATTCCAGACCAGCCTGGAGATTCAATCTCCATCGACTTAATGGATGCCGGTGTCAAGAGTAGGCACGGCAAGAGCCAAGTCATGGTCGTAGTTGATAGATTTAGCAAGTATGTTGTTTTTGTTCCTTTGCATGTAGAGGCGCGTACAAAGTTAGTGATTCAGAAGTTTTTCGATTTTTGGGTTAGCGAGCATGGCATCCCATTGTCTATTGTTTGTGATAGAAATACCCGCTTTACTAGCCAGAACTAGCAGGAGCTGATGAGAGTCTATGGATCTAAGTTGTTGACGTCGTCCGACCGCCATCCAGAGACTAACGGTCAGACCGAGCAGATGAACAAGATCCTGCGGCAAGTTCTGCGCATGTATATTAGACCCGATCAGATCAACTGGGACGAGATGTTACCCAAGGTAGCCAGTGCATACAATAACAGTGTGCACTTATCCACTTGTCGCACTCCCAATGAGCTGCACAAGTCCTTTAGACCGCGCAAACCGTTTGAAGGGCTTAACCGGGATCAGATTCATAGGCTACCGCCTGATACCAGGGAGTTCGCGATACAACATGAGAAAGAGATAGCCACTGTTGTTGAGAACCTCAGGAAGGCCAAGCACTGAATGATAGAACAAGCTAATAAGCACCGTCGCCCATCGCAGTTTCAGGTAGGCGACCTGGTCTGGGTCAAGTCTAAAGAGTTTGCATTTGAGGAGAACATCTCGCAGAAGTTACTGCCCAGTTCTAGAAGTTAAGGGCGGAGAGGATGGACCGTCCTATACTATAGAGATCCCAGCACACCTCCACACCTACCCTGTATTTCACGCATCAAAGTTGCTGCCGTGTGTCACCAGTCAACAATTTCCATCTAGACGGTCCATGATCCCTCCAGACATGGATGGCAGATATGACATTGACGGCATTGTAGGTGAAGATGTATTCATAACAGGAGGTAGAGGTCGTCCCCAGAAACAGTATAAGGTCCTGTTTGCTTATCAGGAGCCGGAGGATGACCGCTGGTTCACTAGAGTAGAACTTCTAGAAACAGCTCCCAATATAGTTAGAGCCTACGGAAGAGATCAGAGAGGCAAAGGTCCTGCCTTGGACTGAGTTATTCTCGGAGGACCTCGAATTTAGGTCGGGGGGAGTGAAACGGTATTCACCAGTTCACAGTAGCTGATGCATATCCCAGGGCTCGATCCCTAGTCCCCACCTTACCTGTGTACAGTATCTGTGTTGGCCCTCAGAGTTGAACCCGTGACCTGTGTATTTGTAACAGTTGGTAGGTTGTCGTAGGGTCCATAGGCAGCAGGGATTCGATCAGTAGACCTGTCGAGTAGGAGTTCCAGTCAGGTCTAGCAGTTGTAGTTGTAGTTGTCTCGAAGGGTCAAGGTCGTAGCTGCTACAGTCCGGAAAGGTCAAGGTCATAGCTGCTACAATAACGAAGGGCCAAGTCTACGGCCTTCCGGAAGGTCCCAGTAGTGGCCTTTCGAAGTTGCCCACGTTTAGGCTGAGGCAAGTGGTGGAAGTCTACCATGCTGAGTCAACAGTCCCAGTCCCCAGTCAGTCCTTGTCTAGTCAAGCAAGTACCGCATGGGACTGTGTGCACCTCGGGCATGGGAAAGGGCCAGACCAACGCGCTACAAAAGTATAAATCAAGAGGCAGAGCCCAGGCATTCGTTCATTCCTGCGTGAGCCATGCGGAAGTGCTGCCACAAGCGACTTGTGCGAGGTGGTCTGCAGTGAGCCCGAGGACGAAGTGGATGAGAGAGAAGGAGTTAGCCATAGCGATAGGGTAGTAGTGGCCATAGCCACCATAGATGGAGGTAGAGTGCAATGTGAGTGTGTGTGTGTGTTCTGAGTGTCGCGTGTGGGATATCCAGGGTGATCCTGTGTATGCGAGCAGAGAGTTGTGTGGGCGCTGAGTCGCCATAGCCATCGAAGTGAACTTGAATCTGAACTGTGTTCTCGATTACCATATCTCTGAGTTCTGAGTGGGCGCTTGTCGCCAGTTTGCTGCGCACCTGTTTGCATGCATGAGATGTGTGAATGAGAGTGAGTCTGATTGCAGGGGTTATCTAGTCGATAGTTGGGTTAGTGGCCCTTAACCACTTTAGGCTCAAGACGATGTCGAAGTGCAAATGTGGAAACACATGGAAGTTTGGACTATGTTTGACTTCCACTTTGGCATCAAAGCTCACTGGTACACCTTTAAGGACCTGCTTGACTGTGATAGATTGGGAGTTCTATACTTGGATCTCTAGTGGATGCTCAAGGTCGGAGACCTTGAATCCCAGATGGAATTTCTTGACTCCATGAGGGAAAATAAAGTTATAGGTGACCCCATAGTCCAACAGGGTCTTGATTCGGGTCCTCCTGATGAGAGGCTTTAGTAGGATTGTTCAGATCTCAAGTTCCTCTTCTCCTTCAACTGAAGTTGAAGGGACGTGCTCTTCCTCATATAAGGGCTTATTTATAAAAGACTCAATATTGGCATACAAAGAGTCAGCTGCAACCGGTCTATACTTAGGCTCGAAGGCTGATTCATCTTCAAAAGGGGATGAATTTAGTTCAGCAGGTGTGACTGCTATCTCAGCTGGCCTGCTCAGTTTCTTGAACTGTTGTTGCCTCACGTGGGGTGCTACTTAGCAAAGTGTTTCCCAACACACCTCAGGCAGATCCCCTCATTCTTTCCGGTACCAGAACTGCTCGGCCTCGAGTACCCGGCACATCTACTGCTACTGGGTGTGGTACCGGCCTACCTGCTACTTGAGTGTTTTTTCGCTGCTCTAAGCACCACGGGCCCCTGGCTCCGCTACTTGGGTGTTTCCCTGCTGCAACCCTCAATGTCACGGCCACAGATAAGTACCGGCCCTATGGGCCTGCCAAACAAGCAAGTACCCTTGTGGGTCACACACACACTCATGCCGACAAGCACTTAGACAGGCACGCAAATCCACAGGCACGCACACATACAGACTTAGAAAACACAGCAGAATGCGGGAATCTTGGCAAAGCATCCATTCCATCGGCAGAACTTCAAAAATCAGCAGTGTTCTCAGTCTTTGTTATGGCGGGTCATTACACTACCCCCCCCTCAAGAGCGAGGTCCCTTCGAGCGAGTAACTCAATCAGAGTCCTTACATAATGCATCATAAGCATAAATAGCAAAGAGAGATCGGGTATGTTCCGTAGGAGTGAGGGTAGCAGTGAATTTAGGCAGCTGTTCGGAACTACTCAATCGTTCGTATGCGTTGACGACTCGCAGGGCACTCTGCAGCAAATCTTTCTTAGCAATCCAATAAAAGTCATTCAATGGATGATATAGGAAGTGGACTTTGTATTATCTTTTTCTCCTCTTCCCACTGTGCTCGAGAATTCTGTCAATCTCATGACCGCCCTTGATTGCACGAGGAATCATTGATTCTCGATATGGAAAAGTTTCGGGCGATTCATACGGAAACAACTTCGATGCATGAAAGACTTGGTACGTGAGCAGATGAGGAGGCACGTCGATCGTGTAAGAAGGACCAAATGAATCATTCGCTACTCGGTTCAGCACCTTCCACGGACCGCAGTACTGAGGAAGAAGCTTTCGTGATACACCTTCTTCTTCAGAAAACTCAGACATCTTAACCCAAACATAACTTCCCACTGTGAAAGGGTCAGGCTGGCGCTTTTTGTTTGCATGCTTAATCATGGCACTACGTCGCCTTTCCATAGTTGCGACAACAACTTTGAGCAAACGATCAAACTTAGCGCTGTAGCCTGGCTGGCTAGGTGTCAGGCCAGGTGGCTGTTCAGGAAACAGATAGAATAGAGGATTCCGAGTTCTCCACCCCAGGTGCAACCGGTTAGGTGTCATCCCGGTGGAGGAGTGTATGGAGTTGTTGTACAACCCCTGCACAATCGGCAACTCCGCATCCCAAGAGTTCTGATCAGGCACAATTAGAGCTCGGAGAAGTTGGATCACAGTCTGGTTGATCTCCTCGGCCAAACCATTGGCTTCAGGATATCGACCAGATGTCATCTTGAGTTTGATGTCATAGATCTGGGAGGTGAAGTCCTTCCAATCTTCACTTATGAATCTAGTGTCCGGGTCACTCACGAAAGTTTTCGGGGGCCCATACTGCATAATGTACTTCTTATGAAACTCTTTGATCACAAGGTCAGTTGGGGCGTGAGGTGGTAATGGAATCAGATTCATAAATTTAAAAAACCGGTCAATGATCACCATTACTTACGAATATCCATTCCTTCTCTTCTTTCCCATGTCCGTGAAGTCGATGGAAAGAGATTCACCCGGGCCATTAGGAATAGGAAGAGGATGCGGCAGCCCATAGGGCTTTAGCCGAGACAGTTTGATGCGTTGACAGATTTCACACTGACCCACAAACTTCCGTGCCATTCCTTTCATTCCAGGCCATACAAACTTTTGCAGCAGACTTCAGTATGTTTTCTCAAAACCGAAGTGTCCACTCCGACCATGAGCCAAGTCCAAGAAGTGAGTAAGGATCGGCTTATGGTTGGGTACACACAGTCGGTTGTGCTTCCCGTAACGTCGGAAAAGTAAGCCCTTACATTCATGGAAATCAGGCTGACTGCTAGGGTCAGCCCGAATCTGCTGAAGGATAAACTGAGTTCCGGATCCTTGGCTGTGTGCTCAATGAGTTCCTCCCTCAAATTCTTACGGAGATCATAGGAACCGACAAGGCAAGTCATGTACTCAGGATGGCGAGACAAAGCATCCGCAACGCGATTGTAACAGCCGTTCTTGTGCTTAAGTTCAAAATCGTACACATCAATCTCATGCAGCCAGCGGGTCAACGTGGTTGATGGATTAATCTGTGTCTGAATCCATTTCAAAGTTTTGTGATCTGATAACACTTTGAAATGACGACCCAAGAGGTAGTGTTTCCAATGATTTAGTGCCTCTCTCAAGGCGTAGAGTTCTCGCAAGTGAGTGGAGGCAGCTACCTTGTGACTGGGCGTGCGTTTGCTGTAATATTCAAGCGGACGTAAGTCATCGCCGTCATCTTGCTACAACACTGCACCAATCCCATACAAGCTTGCATCCGTAGTTACTACGAATGTAAGTTTGGGATTTGCAATGCGGAGCACCGGATGACTCACCATAGCCTCTTTCAATGCTTGGAAGGGTGTTGTGCGTTCCCCATCCCATGTGTAAGACACATTCTTACTTGTCAACTTAGACAGCGGATGGGCGATGATAGAGAATTTGGGTACAAACTTACGGTAGTATGACGCAAGACCAAGAAAAGAACGCAACTCGCGGACATTGTCCGGTTGAGGCCTGCGGATGACCTCAACTTTGGTTGCCTCGGGCTCTAGGCCTGCTGCAGACAACCGATGTTCAAGGTAGATGACGCTGTCCCTCCCAAACTCAGATTTCTCCAAGTTGAGATGGAGTTGTGCATCCTTGAGGATCTGTAACACTTCCTCAAGATGTCTCATGTGCTCCTCCATCGATTTGCTGAAGATTAGTATATCATCCAGATAAACAACAACAAAGCGATTGATCTGGTTGCGGAACACCTTGTTCATGAGACTTTGAAAGGTGGCCGGTGCATTCATGAGACCGAAGCGCATGACGGTAAATTTGTGCAACCCGTCGCGAGTTTTGAATGCAGTTTTGTGCTGGTCTGCAGGGTCGACTTCAATCTGGTGGTGGCCAGACTTGAGATCGATCTTGCTGAAGACCTTGCACCCACCTGCAACATCAAGCAAATCATCAATACGCGGCAAAGGATATGCATTCTTTCTTGTTATTCTATTCAGCCCGTGGTAATCGATACACATCCGTAGTTTGCCTCCTTTCTTAGGGACAAACAAAACCGGTGCACCGAATTCGGATTCGCTTGGCTTGATCCATCCCTTCCCAATCATGTCATCAATTTGTCTACGCAACTCTTCCAATTCGCCTCAGCCCATTCGATAGACACTGCCGTTTGGAGGAGTGCTACCTTCTATCAACTCGATCTTATGTCGGACCGAACGCACGGGAACTCCGTGCGGTTCGACCAAGACTTCAGGAAATCGGTTGAGAAGGTTGCAAATTTCTTATGGGATCTCCGGAGGTGGATCATCACATTCAGGTGCATGCATCCCGGATTGCATCGGTGCAGCCAAAACAACAGGATTTGAAAGCAGGGTCGTTTGGACTAGAAGTAGACTTAGTAGAGGTAGAAGTAGTTGCCTCAGAAGTAGAAACGGCATGCAAAGTGGAATCATTATGTACAACAAAAATAGAAGGCACATGAGCAGGCCTAACAAAGGCTATATACATTTGCTCATCAACTTTGCGTCTGTGCCACTTTTTGCAAAATTGCATTGCATTGTGAAAAGTTACTTGGGACTCGCGCGGCTCATCCAAGAGGAATGGACGCTCGATTCCTATGGTATCTTTGACCATGAACTGTGAGTCCTTCCACGTGATTCTTTCACATTGGGCTTGCAACCAGCCCAAGCCAATAACCACGTCGAAGGGGCACTGATCAAGGACATAGAAGTTCAGTTCATCTGCGTCAAAGGTAGTGCGCACACCTTTGACTGTATGCCTAGAGGTGACAACCTTTTGGTTGCCCACTTGGGTCCGACAAGGATTCTGCAAGGTCACTTGCTTCATTCCCAAGCGTGCCTTACGAATATCATGCGGTGAGAAGTAGTTGGCGGTTGCACCATAATCAGCCAGCGCACGGATGTAACGGCCATTAATGTAGAGTTCGAAGAAGATCAACTTCGTTCTCCCTTGCGAGCGTTTTTGCTTCATATGAACCCAGCGCGTCAACAGAGCATGAAGGTCAATTTCTTCCGACTCCACCCAAGGCTCCTTATAGAGGATGTGCAATTTCTCAGCCTTGGAATCATCATCAGATGGGGTTTCAAGAGAGTTTTGCTGAGTGGGATCAGAATCCAGTGAAGGATCTGCACTTACATGTTCAACCTCTCCGTCTGTAGAGTGTGCTGATAATGTCTCTACCTCCTTTGCTGGTTTCCCTGCTGCAATCTGAAGCAATGTTGGACTGAATGTCCCGGTTTGGTGCAATGCAGGCAAACCCCTTTCTTCACCCTGTATTTCCACTCACTTTCACTGATCCGGAGATCTACCCATGGTTTGGTGGCAGGATCTTCCAGTTTGGGTGGAATCTTCGCTCCCTTGGGAAGGAGAATGGTGTTAGTATTGTTCTTCACTGTGGTCCTCGATCCCTTACTTTTGAAGGCAGTCTTCTTGAAGGCATTCATAGATTCATCATCATTCACATACTCAGACTCATGGGCTGACGAAGAGCAAGATGCCTCGCAGCCTTGCTCTTGATCGTCATCAAGAGAAGGATCCTCTGCGAAGGTCTCCTCGTCATCCTCAAGTAGATCATGTGTTGCAAAACGGTTGCTGCCTGGAAACCGTTTGCGGCCGGTGGTCTTTTTTCCACCCGATCCACCCGGGAGGTCTTGTGCCTCCAGCTTGACTAAATCCCGCATGAGGGTAAGCCAATTTGTATAAACTTATGAGTCCGAGCCCCAGGCGATGTGTTATAGTAGAGGGGACCGTACCTTTAATCACATCCAAACAAGACTGCGCAGTCATTTCCAGGTCCGGAGTAGCAAGAAGTTCACTAACATACTGCTGCAGACTATGCATGGTGTAGGTCCACTTGCTGTGCTTGAACTTGTCAAGCTTAAGTCTAGCTTTGGTTGCAGCACGTGGATCAGCATATTGCTTGATCAAGAGCTCTTCGAGTGTGGCTACCGGCGTGGCCTTCAGCCATTTGTTCAGGTCTATTTTTTTTATACCCTGCTTGTACAACTTGGATTTCCAAGAATCCTCTTATGGCGGGTTCCACATTGGTCCCTAGGACCGACGACTGAGTAACTGTGAGTGTCCCCAACACATCAAAGTAGGATCGCATGGAGCTGATCCAAGATTCGATGTCGTCCTTTCCGTCCTACTTAGACGGAATATGCGCCGCCTTTCTATCCATGTAAGGAAAGATGCAGCTTGGACCAGCGGTTGTTGGGTTCGAATTCGAGGCTGCAACAGTTCCAGAATGCCCTGCACTGCCACTTGCCACTGCAGCAGCAGCAACAACAGCGGGGTCTGGACCTGCAGCAGATCCGGTTAGGTTGTTGGCCACACTCAAAGAAGAAGAAGAAGAAGAAGACACTGTTAGAGGGGCAAGAACGGACTGACACGCAGCACTAAAAGCAGGGTAAGCAGACGGAAGGATACTTTGGGCTGGCTGCACATTAGTGAACTGTTGCAGCTGGTCATGGTGCTGCTGCGCCATCAGGGCCATGTCCTCACGCAACTTCTTGAGTTCGTCGAACACTTCGGCGATTTGGCGAATATGGTCCTCAACAGCCCGAACGTCTATTAAAGCCCGGAGGAGTGGAACGGTTTTCTTTCCCACCTCCTCATCAGTTAGGGCAGGCACGGTACAAAAAATGGGTGCATGAGCCTTTACCTTATCTTCACTCTCCTTCTCCTTCTCTTCCTCTCCCCTCTTCAATGCTTTTTCATAAAAGAACAGGTACTGCGCTTTTTCTGCCTCAGGGGCAGCATCCATTTGCAGCTTCCATTCTGCTGCAGATGCCATAATGGAGGATGAGGGTGTTAACAAGTCTCTCAAGAGGGGTCCGTACTTCCTCACACTTCTGGGACGAACACTCCTTTTCCCTCTCCTCACTCCCTCAAGAGCAACACTCAGAAGCTTCT